CTATGTAAGGCGCAACAGCCGGCCAGTGTAACCTAACCTAACAAAGCAGACTGGGAACGAGTTACCGAGAGCATCTTCGCCCGTCCACACCAACAGCCGTTCATGTTGGCAACCTTGGCCTTTTCCACAAAGTAGTCACTGCCACAGCGGATCGCTTCATTCCTGCTGAACGTTCAGCGGGAGCTCGCTTCAATTTCCCATCTGATGTGGCTGAACCAGCGACCAGGCGTGACGACCTTTTCCGGGTCGATCGCTGGAATCCCCTTATCAGGGATCTCAATTTGGAAGTAATGCAACTGCAGGTCGTTATCGAACCCGGCGAAGCACGATGGCAATCGAAATTTCAATCAGCGATCGGGCCTCATTGGACACGAAGCGAATAGGTATAGTGGTACCACTATGTAGTCGTAACGCACGATATCGCTTTTTTTCCACAGAAGTTTTAACAGCTCTGTTATTTCTGTAATCAGCCAATCCCATCTTAGCTCAAATCGCTCGCCATCAGTACTTGTACAAAGGCCGGCAAAACACTTTGGCAACGCACGTATAAACATACAAGGCGATTCGACGACCAGTTTTGAATTACATTGCGCTAATACTTCTATGGAATGCCTGCTGAAACACCATTTATAGAGTATAGTTAGGGCGTGTATTATATATTACGCTCAGAGGGCAGTTCGAGCCGAGTTTCCTCCTGGGTACCTCAAATAGCAAAACCGTATAAAGCGCAATGTTTTCTTTTCTCCTCTCCCAAAAATTTCTGGTTTCGGTCTGTGGGGCGTAGAGCTCTTCGATTATCCTGATCTAAAAAAGTCAAAACTCCATTTATTTAGGTTTTTTTCTATTGATATAGCTTTTTCTGGGTCCTACTGTTACATAAACCTGACAGCATCTCTAAATGGACTCACTTGTCATAGTAAAGCTTTTTAAGCTGCTACAAAAACATGAATCATCTAGCGACTAATGAGCTAATTATAATTCTTGATACCATAGCCGCTTTCGACAGCACTAAAAGAATTTGCTTATACGCCGATACGTCTTCCTGCATCCATGCCAAACTGATCCGGCTGTGTCAAATGACGTTAAGCAATACCACAAGCTCCGTCAGAATTGCTAAAGACCTCTCCGAGCCGTTCGCAACAAAACGGGGTTTCAGACACGGGGACTCCCTCTCATGTGACTTCTTTAATCTGATGTTGAAGAAGATAATAAGAGCTGCAGAACTGAACCGCTCAGGAACAATTTACTATAAGAGCGTGCAATTGCTGGCTTATGCCGATGACATCGACATCATCGGTAACAAAAACGGCGAAGTCTGTTCTGCCTTTTCCCAGTTGGATAAGGAAGCAAGGCGAATGGGTCTGGTGGTAAACGAGGACAAGACTAAGTATCTCCTGTCATTAAACAAACAGTCAGCACATTCGCGCCTTGACACCCGCGTTACTGTTGACAGTTATAATTTCGAGAAAGTAGAGAATTTCGTTTACTTGGGAAACCAGCATTAACACCGATAATAATGTCAGCATGGAAATCCAACGCAGAATCACCTTTGCCAACAAGTGCTACTTTGGACTGGGTAGGCAATTCAGGAGTAAAGTCCTCTCTCGACGTACGAAAACCACACTCTATAAATAAGTCACTCATCATGCCCGTGCTGGTATATACCGCAAAAGCATGGACCATGACAACAACCGATGAGGCGCGTTGGCGACGGCGTGTACCGCAGACGCTGGAACGATGAGCTGTATGAGCTTTACAACGACATGGACATAGTGCAGCGAATTAAAATACAGCTGGCTTGACCACATCGTTCGAATGGGCACCGACGCTCCAGCTCTGAAAGTATTCAACACGGATCCCGCTGGTTGTAGCAGAGGAAGAGGAAGGCCCCCATTGAGATGGAAAGACCAGGTGGAGAATGACTTGGTTTCACTTGGCGTTTCCAATTGGCGTCAGTCAGTGACAGAAGAGAAACGACTGGCGTGCTTTGTTGAACTCGGCCAAAATCGCTTAAGCGGTTACAGAGACAAATAAGAAGATAAGATACCATAGCCAACCGCAGACTCAAAATCCTTCGATTTATAATTTATTTTTATCGAAATAGCTTCTTTTTTTTGTATTATTACTGTGGATACTGACACTTAAACTTTAATCAAAGTTCGAATTCAAATTTAATAATGTCATCACAAAAGAAAGGTTTAAGTTAATAAAACCTGCCAAATGGAAGAATTTGTACATAAACGCTGTGACTCATTCTATTGCGTAAGCTCATTAACTTAAAGAAACAATAAAATATAAAGTTTGAGGTTTACTTTACCAAACAAATATAAAAGATATACCCACTGCTCTTTTTCTGTAAAAATTTCCAAACCTTCGCTGAAAATAACTTCCACATAGGGTAATCCCAATTTTTTCGACAGCCAATTGATTCTTTCCCCGAAAAATTTATCGTAATTGTAATTATGCATCGATACGTTTGAAAATTTTTAATTTTAAATCTTACAGGTGGTAGTAGTATGTACTTTTATTTATGGAGAATGTGTATAAGTACCCAGTAGATAATTTCAGGAGTTCAAAGCCCTTCCGAAATGCCTTCCTGAGAGTCAAGAGGCCTTCCACTCTACATTCCTTTTTCCTTTCTTTTTTGTATGCAGTGCCACAAATTGAAGGGCTTCTTATTTCGCTACCCATGGAAAGCCTTCCCGAAGGTATTTTATAGGACGTACTTCGGAAGGCCTTTTGGAGGAGTTCTTTTAAAGTTGCTTCTTTAATTTATAAAAATCATACGTCTTTGAAGTATTTGCTTAGGGTTTATATCAAACATGTGTTATTGCAACTTTAAAGGTTTATTAAAATTCATTTGTAATGCTGAATAATATAAATTTATGCATTCGCATATATTGTAAATGGATAAGCCCTTCTAGATGGCATGCAAGGAAGCACTTTTTTTCAGCCCTTCTTGGGTAGGCCTCTTAGAATGGCTTCACTTAAGAAGGCCTACCTAAATTATCGCCTGGGTAATTATTATTATTTTTTTTTGATCATTGTATGAATGAAAGAGGTTTGTACAATCTCATTATACCAGTTGCATATGATGAAATAAAAATAAAATGAGGGGGAATGCGTTAGAAAAAAAAAAACTTTGGTTTTTTGGGATAGTCTAATCTACACACAAATCGCACACCTGCGTAGATCTAAAGTGAGCTAAGTCAAAAATCAGATAGGGAAATATAACTGCTTGTGGATAGTACTGATTCAACGCAATTAATACAAAAATTGGTATAACAGTCGTTATTTTGTTAGTGAACATAGTTATGAAGAAAACATTTTTTTCATTCATTGGAGGTAAGTCCTATGAATTTATTTAAGCAAAAAAAAACATCCTAATTTTTTTTTTTAGTTGATCGCACTTTAGATCTACATAGGTATGCGATCGGTACATATGTATGCAGGTATATAAGCATCTTTAAAAAAAAAAAAAATATTTTGATCGTTTGATAGCGAGCACTTGTGGAGGATCGCTTAAAGCTTAGAGCTACTATACATGTGTGTGTAGTTAAATATATGGGCTGCTTTAGAGAGGACTGATTGTTTTAAGCGTTGCTGTTTGAAGCGTGTAGATATATATTTGTCATTAGACGTCAATATAAAATGCAATTAAGTATAAATATTGTTCGTATGTATGTTTGTATATGTATTTGTTTGATTAACTTTTTCTCGAGCTCAAATACGATTGCGGCTCGACTTCTCGAGATTCGTACTTGAATCAAATGTTCATGTACATATATACATATATAAAATATTACGTACATATGTACATATGTGCAATTTCTTTGGGCATACATACAGTGCTGGAAAAAATAATACAAGCAACTTATTGACAAATATTAAATCAATAATTATATCAACACTAGTTAAATATATTTCTTGGAATGGCGCGCTCTGTACAAATAGCATTTAGCGGTTGTTCTTTTGCAAAACATTTTATTCCGCTGGTTTGTCTCATTTTTTTTGCTTTATGTGCGAGAGAGTGAACAATTAAATAGTTGCGGTTGGAAAAAATAATAGAAAGAAAACGTGTTTGTTGATATTGTGGCACTTTAAAAGCTAAATAGTTGTTTGACGCTTCTAATTGCGTTTTTAAAGAATGTGGTATGGGGCTACTTCTCGGAGGAAGGCGTTGGGTCCAATATTTTGGATAAAGAACAAAATGTGCGCAGTTGACTGTGTAAGCATATTGCAGATGATAATGCTTCCCTATGTTAAAGAGGAAATGCCATTGCGGTGGGAGTTTATGCAGGATAATGATCCTAAACATGCATCGAAACTGGCATAGCAGTGGTTTAAGAAGGAAAAAGTGCAAGTTATGGAGCGGCCGTCTCAATCGCCAAACCTCAGAGGATTGGGCCTTTTAAAGCCAGCAATAAAGACGAATTGTGGAGCCACATTCAATAATCGAGGTATTCCATTCCGAAAAGTGTTTGTGCAAACTTGGTTTATTCGATGCACTGAAGATGCAAAGAGGCAATCAGGCAAGGTGGCGGTTCAACAAGATGTTGAAACAATAATATTTTTGTACATAATTGGAAATAATACTTTGTTTCTGTTATTTCTTCCAGGCCAAAATAAAAAAAAAATGAGCCACAATTTATTTATGTCTTATTGCATTTGCAAAAGAAGTCTGTCTATATTTTAAGAAACATAAACAAAATATATGAAATCGTAATGTATTTAAAATAAGAGAATTCTTCAAAACAATAAAAATATATGAAAGCTGTACGTTTCTGTTATTCTTTCCAACACTGTATATACATACACAACTACATCTCTACACATTTTTATACATACATATGTACATATATACAAACAGTATGTACATATGTAAATATTTACGTACAGGTATCTTTGGTTGTTATTTTATTTAGATTTTTACGTTTTATTATTATTGTGCTTGTGCGAGCACATACGACGTGCAAACCTTACAACGGCATGCCGGCTACTCGCAGTACATCGCCAGTCAGCAGATAACAAACAAGATACCATTGAGCGGCTGCAACCAAGTCGATACGAAACTTTTTGTGGTTTAAAACAGCTTTACGAATTTTTATTCCTTTAAGTTCGTTTGTGTATTTCTGTGTTTTTGTGTTTTTTGGAGCTTTACGCGAAAAATTGCACTTGAACCAATGCAGTGATTTGAATTTGATTTCAATTGAACGTCCCACAACGGTGACGCGTGCTGCGTTTTGAGTCTTCGCTACTAAGGCACGCTATAAACCGTTGTTTGCAGGTGAATTAAAAAATAAAATAAAAACATAGTAAAAAACGTTAGTCAGCACGGCACGCGGCTTAAAGGTCAGCTGGTGGCTTAGTGGCCGAAGTTAGTGTTAGCGCATTTGTAATTTTGTAAAATTAATTTTGTTTTATAGCATTTTTAACTATTTTATTAATTAGAACCATTTATCTTATTTATTTTCAGGTAGACGTTGTTGTCCTTTCGGTTCAAGTTAATTAAATATATGTAAAACTTCAATATTATTCGTCCACTCTTGTACATCAATATTTGTCAGCGTTATTTTTGTATTAACTAACATACCACCAACTACCCACCTTGCACACTTTTGGTGCGCCACATAACCTTCACCAAGTGCATTGAGGCGGCAGGCATTGAACTATAAAAAAAATGCAGCGTAAACTGTTGCTGTACGCGCTAATCTTCTTAACTGTGGCGTCTCAAAAATGCTATGTAGTCGAAAGTGTTGGGCCGCCCAGCGATACAATGGGCGCCATAGCCGCGAACCGCTACAATGCTGAACACCAGCATCAACAACAACAGCAGCACCATCTGCATGCATCGGCACATCATCAAGGCAGCAGCGTCGGTGGTGGTGGTGGTGGTGGTGGTGGTGGTGGTGGTGGTGGCGGCGGCGGTAGTGGCGGTAGTAACAGTGGTGTGCCGGCGCCCGCTGTACCACCTTCCGCCACGCATGCCCCAAACCATCCATCTCCCTCGGGCAGCGGTCACATGGAGCCGCGCAATTCATATAATCTGTTAAGTGAAGCTATGTCACAGGCTGTCAGCAATGAATTCAGTAAGTATGAGTGTAAAGAGCAAGAGGGCTGGAATTGATTGGCATGCAACTTTGTTTGCTAAGAGTGATTGCATCGGCGATTAAGCAAAATGCAAATGCAAAGCTAAGTTGCTAACGCGAAATTTAAATGAATGGGGATACCTTTTGTGGTACTTTGAGATATTTGATTTCCTCTAAAGTTAATTTTAAAACTTGAAAGCGTTTAAAATAAAACTGAACTGCAAAGTGCCTCAAATACTCGTATTAGAATACTATATTTTATGAGATACATCGTTAAGTACTGCATTAACAAAAAAAAAAAAAAGTTCTTGAGGTGCGACGCAATATTGAACTCAAAAAACTCGTTGAAGATTAATTACATCCAATTTGCAAAAAGCAAAAAAAAGAAGATAAATACCTTGCGGTTAACTCGTGGAAATGATAATTATAAATATAGCATTTAAGGTGCGGTTGGTGATATGAATTTAAATAAACACGCTGCAGCATCACCAAGCGAGTCCTTTGCCAAAATGAAATCTTATTTCTTTTTTTTTTTAGTAATATCAGCCACATAATTAGACAAATACGGCATTTTTTACTCTTCATGCATATGTACATTAAAAAATCGTTTAAGGCCTTCAAAAGATCAAATATATAGAAAATTGCTGAATTTACTTTACTTTTTGTACTTCGAATTTATTTGAGTAACATTTTGCACCTTTCAATCTGCGATAAGCGAACAATGCGACCTCACCTCTTCTTTCGTGTTTATCATTTATTGCATGCCCAAAAATTCTATATAAATACACCAATCACACATCAAATCATGTGTCGGAGATAGCATATTCAACAAGTTTGCGCAATATTTAAATATATTTTGTTATAATTAACGATTATTCAACAAAAAAAAAAAAAAATCACAATTAACGATAACCAAGTTTTCTCAACTATTTAGTCGGCGGCACCCACGCTTTTCTGCGCTTATCTGGAACAATTTTAATAAGCCAAATTCTTATTTACGATTTGCTTACGCATTTGTCGACAAATAAAGAAAAGAAAAATCATATAGATATGTACAGATGCGATCAACTAATTACCACCGAAACTCAAAATGATATTGTTTCCAACTTATTTTTAATAATTTTCATTTGAAATATAATTCAATCTATAACAGAATCCACACAAATAAAAGTTTCAAAGCTTGCACAAATTTCAAAAAATTTTCATCAAAATTTCAAATTTTTGAATTAGAATATTTGGAGAATTTTCTGGTATGCAGTTTTGTAGGCCATTTAATTTTAGACCTATAAAGTGCAAGTCGGTAAAAATTACTGTCGATTTTTTAGGTTTTTTTTTATTTTTATTTGAAAAAAAAAAAAAAATGCGCAACATCCTCCACAAAAAAATTCTAAAAAAATTAACTTTATTAGACTAAAATTGAATGGGCTACAAAACTGTATACCAGAAAATTTTTTTAATGTTCTAATTACAAATTTTTAATGTTGAAAATTTGTTGAAATTGGACTGGACTTTTTTTTTGTGAAAGCTCTGAAATTTGTATTAATGTGGTTTCTTCTGTAGATTGAATTATATTTTAAGTGAAAATTAAATAAAAAAAACATTTTGAATTTCGGTGCTAATTAGTTGATCGCGTCTGTATATACGTACATATATATATTAATAAAAGAATTAACTGTGTGTTCTTTTTTATTATGTATTAATTATAATGCGCAAAAATGTAAAACTCCAATCCTCCAACACCTTTTTTTCCACTTACTGTCGAATGCCACTATCGCTTCAATTACTACATATGTATGAAAATAAATATTTATCTTTGTGCATATAATTAAAATTATATGTTTGTTTTGTCTATATATGTACATATACATATATTCTTATGTACGTACATATGTAGTTTGTACAACTTATATCCCGCAGCTTGGTCCATATCATTACAATTTTACTAATATTTGTCTTGGTT